CCCGTCACACCAAACATGCTCGCCCTATCAGCCGTGGGGGCATTATAATGTGACGGTCAATCCCACTATTCGTTGATAAAAGAGTAGCCCAATAGTTGGCGGTGGGTGGTATGACCAGCTGCCTTCCCTCTAGTCTTACAATGCTAAATTAGGGACGGCTAGCGCAGATAGCCCTCGTGTTGCTTTGCGCGAAATTCAAAACAAACTGACAAATATATTTAGACTTATACAAAGTGCTATTGTGAATAAAGCAGTTAATCTTACTTGAGTTTAACTGTACGCATAACCTCTAAAATGGATAAAAAACGATCTCTAACTCTAGAAAAATGGTTCCATAACTATTTTAGTCTGAGGCTTCCTTGATGTGAATAATAAAGTTTGAGCCCCCCCCCCCCAACTTATAACTTTAGCATGGTGGTTGAAAAACAGTGCCTTAGTAAAAACAATAACATCTCCTTTCAACATACTGTATCATTTAATTAATTCAACATAATCTTTATCAGTTTATTGTTTATTTAGAATTAAAATTAATTCAGCATCTTTGTTTTCGGCCCATTTTTGGCGGCTCTCACTTTGGAAAACGCGGCTCTAGAACGAGCCTTAATGATCGATATATAGCTTTATGACTCATAACCTGCAAGTTCACTATTAAATTACTGGAAAAGTAAATCAGACTTCACTGTGTTAGTTAAAGAGAAACACAGATAAAGTGGTCAGAGGAATCGTACAAAAGTAAATATTTTGTAGTTTTAACACGTGATATTTATGAGCGAAATATTCATCAACACATTTAAATAATGAAAGTAAGTGTGTGCAATTAAACAGAGTTTCTACTCAAATACGTCAATACGTCTGACGGTTTACGACGCTAAAAATCGGGTTTCAATACCCTCCCGGTGGGTAGAACACAAATAGCCTATTTCGTAGCTTTGTGCTTAACAACAAAACCAACAAGCTCGAATACTTCACAGTAAAAATAAATTAAACGAAATAAAAAAATATATCAAATATTTCTCATCATCTAATTGAGATCTTAAATCCAACAAAGCAATTGTCGAGTGCTTTTTATTTAAACTTTGTTTAACACAAAAGACATTTCTATAGACATGCCCCCTAGTGGCACAGCGGCATGTCTGCGGACTTACAACGCTAGAAACCGGGTTTCGATATCAGTGGTGGGCAGAGCACAGATAGCTCATTGCGTAGCTTTCTGCTTATCTTCAAACAAACAAACAAATCCTTAAACGTAAATAAAAATCACGACCTGTATTTCCAGAATGTAACTTTATTAACTCAGTATTTCGTTATTACAGTTTCATCAGGAGCAATCGATATCCTACAAGTCCACTAACCCAGTTAAATCTAACTTGGAACACTGTCATTCGTAAATCGAACATTGACAGACGTGTTTAGAAAGTTCAGTTTGTATTAAACTATTATCAAGCCAACAATTCTAAATATATATAAATAACAATTCTTGAATTTTATGGCTGTCCGGAAGATCTAAGGTTAGATTTACTAACTGTGAACTGTGTACGAAATTAAATATTAGAAAAAAAAACTCAGCAAAGAAGATAACATTAACAGACGAAAAATAAGTGAAGCTCTATTAATAAAAAACAAAACTCTATTCTTATCAAATACAAAAGTTTTCATTTATATCTATTTAAATCTTTCTTTTGTATAATAGAACAAAGTTCAATAATAAATCTCAGCCCTTAAAACGTTTATATTTATAAATATTTGATAGTTCATTGACGAAATACTTTAGAAAGTTTTCGATTGCTTAACCACATGTTTTGTAGATTAGCATTGTTACAGACAGTCTAGTGATTCTCACAAGTCGCTTCCAAAAGAGGCCTTTCGTTCAGTTCTGGAACTCATCAGTTGGACCAGACGATGAGAGACAAAAGATTATCTGATTTACTTCAGTTTAAATCAATAGGCCTAAAATTTGTGATTAATATCAGTTTACGTTTATTCATGTCACTTTTGTTGTTCGTCTGCTTTACTTCAGTTTAAATTAATAGGTCTAAAATCTGTGATTAATATCAGTTTACGTTGTTTTACATGTCACTTTTGTTGTTCGTGTGCTTTACTTCAGTTTAAATTAATAGGTCTAAAATCTGTGATTAATATCAGTTTACGTTGTTTTACATGTCACTTTTGTTGTTCGTGTGCTTTACTTCAGTTTAAATCAATAGGCCTAAATTCTGTGATTAATATCAATTTACGTTGTTTTACATGTCACTTTTGTTGTTCGTGTGCTTTACTTCAGTTTAAATTAATAGGTCTAAAATCTGTGATTAATATCAGTTTACGTTGTTTTACATGTCACTTTTGTTGTTCGTGTGCTTTACTTCAGTTTAAATCAATAGGCCTAAAATTTGTGATTAATATCAGTTCACGTGATTTTTATCACAGAATTTTAGGCCTATTGATTCCTAATGTTTCGCCAGCTTTCGACGTTTTAAACCGGAAATTTCTATGGTGTTATGAGTCCGTTTTACTTTACCATATAACTTAGTTACGTAAATGATGTTATGACATTTCATCATAATCTTATTTACCTACCTAAATTAATTTAGATTACTATATGGTGAAATAAAACTGACTCATATCCTAGTGGATATTATATACACTTCACCATTATAACAGACCTGATGGTATTTCTTTGGTTCGCTGACCCAAGCTGTGCTGATGAGCCTTGAACAGACGAAACTGTAGTCCACAGCAGAGGGTACTGGCAATCAAGGAATGCATTAGGCTTCTACGTCACAGATTCCATTTTCAGTTTCATCTCTGATGAAGAAAGAAAGAAACATTTAACATATATATATATACAAACCGGAAATGTATTTCTGTTCAAATCTGATAATGCCAGGTTAACCTGATGAAACATCGTGAAATAAGAAATTTGAGAAAATATTGTATATTGTTGAAAATCATTTACAAAATAAGCTGTTTTTAATTTATGTTCTTCTTTGCTCCCAGCTTTGGTATAATAAGTGTAGACTATGAATCGATCCCGATGAAGCTGTAAAGCGAAATATCGACCAATAAAACATACATTCGTTCTTTTATCTTTTCTTCACTTTCTTTTGTTATGCGTTATCTTTCGTTTTTAAGACTTCGTGTCAATCTGGCAGAACGTGATTTCAATTATTCTTATTTTTGAATTATTTTATTAGTTTTTGTTTATATGTCATAGTTAATTGTTTGCTACCATAGCTTATAAAATAAATGTAATATTACGAACAATATCCTCAGTCATATTTCATCGACAGTGAAGTTTGAACAAACTTATTTTGTTTACTGTTAGAGTAAGAACTGAAAATCATGTGTAATAAAAGTTTATTGTTTTTAGAATATATAATTGAAAATCATATATAATATTACATATGATTTTCAACTATATATTCTAAAAACAATAAACTTTTATTATATATGATTTTCAATTATTTACTCTAACAGTAAACAATAAATGTTTAAAAGTTTATTGTTTGTTAGAGTAAATAATTGAAAAGGCATGTGTCATTCTTACATTTTTTTGTATTTTAGGTACAGAAAACAGTGAGCAAGTGAAGCCAGATAATATGTCACTCACAGTTACTTACGATAGCCAAGAACCAGCCTATCTTCCTGCGCCTTATGCTACTACTAAGGTTCCAATGTACTCTCGAGATCAGGTTGCATCACCCAGGGGAGGTTCTGATCCCGGAATGCGCACATTTAGCAGTAGTCGCCATCTATATGATGTACCAAATCCAAACAGAAGAGTAAGTTGTCACAATTTTAAATTCTGTGTTGTTGTTTTTTCCTTTCTTAGTTTCACAATGTGGTAACCCTCTTTTTATTATAACTATTTGGATCTTGAACTGATGCTTTCTAGTAAGTTTAAAATGTGGTAACCCTCTTGTTATTATAACGTACTTAGGTTTAGACCTGAGGCTTTCTTGTAGTTTCACAATGTGTTAACCCTCTTGTTATTAAAACGTACTTAGGCCTAGAACTGATGCTTTCTTGTAGTTTCACAATGTGTTAACCCTCTTGTTATTATAACTATTTGGATCTAGAACTGATGCTTTCTTGTAGTTTCACAATGTGGTAACCCTCTTGTTATTATAAAGTACTTAGGTCTAGAACTGATGCTTTCTTGTAGTTTCACAATGTGGTAACCCTCTTGTTATCATAATATACTTAGGTTTAGAACTGATACTTTCTTGAACAAATTGGGCTGAACAAATTACAATGCTTTGCTTTATAGTAATAGTTACGTTGAGCAAGTCACGTAGTCGCTACGTAAAAGCGTATTATCTGCATGCTGAACCATAGAACTGTAACTATAATTGTTTGTTGGTATATATATATAGTGAGTTGAAGGAGGAAAACCATTGAATGGTTTAAATACAGCACAACATCCTCATGATGCTGTCAAGAAAACTTTTATCTCTTGAACAAAACGTCCGTATTGGTATAACTCACAAACATATCATAGCAAGCAGTGTAATATTATGTGATGTACTTTTGTCGTCGGTCGCAGTTGGGTGTTTCTATTTGCAATTCAGTGAATTACCAGACTCTCCGAGGAGACATTTTGAAAGCAAGATGCAAATGAGCGTTAGCTGTAGATGAAGAACAATACAAGTCTGGACTCAAAATTTAACCAAAACAATGTCAACTTCTTCTGCACACTGGGATACAACTGCTTAGGAATAATGCACCTTTCGAGATCACAATCTTAACGTATGTCACATCTGCTCAGTAACAGCCCGAAATATTTTGTAAATTTTCTATCCATTGATGAAAACAACGTTTTTTTCTTTCCAGAATGGTTTGACATTATGACGTACTTCCAAATGTGACGCTACATTTAACTAGGAACTAATGCAAAGACACAACCCTAATCTAGAAAATAGCTAGATTACTGATATGTTCTTGATATTATGTTATGTGTGTGTGTGTGAAAACAAGTTAAAATAACACTTCTCAATGAAACTTTAACCAAACTCCTCGCAAGGAAAAACGAAAGAGTTTGTTTGTTTGTTTTTTAATTTCGCGCAAAGCTACACGAGGGCTATCTGCGCTAGCCGTCCCTAATTTAGCAGTGTAAGACTAGAGGGAAGGTCATCACCACCCACCGCCAACTCTTGGGCTACTCTTTTACCAACGAATAGTGGGATTGACCGTCACATTATAACGCCCCCACGGCTGAAAGGGCGAGCATGTTTGGTGTGAGAGGGATTCGAACCCGCGACCCTCAGATTGTGAGTCGAGTGCCTTAACCACCTGGCCATGCCGGGCCTAAACGAAAGAGGAAACAATAAGACGTTCAACGTGAGAATAGATAATATAGTATCAAAATGACGGAATTTTCTGGTAGGCAATCAGGGAGGAAAACTGTATGGATAAAACTGAGCTGGAAAATACAAATGGCATAAAACGATTACTGACCAAAATATAACTCTATTTTGCTGGAACTGAACGTAAATCGAGGTGCAAACTGTTTAAATTTCATAAGGCAGTCAAGAATCTGAGAAGCTTAAAAAACTATTTTGGTTGTCAATCTGTCATTGGATTTTAGGTTACTTTACCACTTTCTGATCTCTCCAAATAAATACAGCTTTGATAGTTCTAACTGAGACAAAACAATTTTCTTCCTTATCCTGTGTCATTATCCTAGGAATAGCTGATTAAAAGCACATAATGGAGATGTAAAGTAAAAATTAATTAAACATATTATATTTTGAGAGATAGATCGTAATGATCAAAATCAGTTTCTTCTTGCTCCGAGGAACTCACTGATAACTGATTCAACTCGTTATCGATCCATTTTGGATATTTCCAGCTAAATTTGGGACGGCTAGCGCAGATAGCCCTCGTGCAGCTTTACGCGAAATTAAAAAAAAACAAATACAAACTTAGTTAATGACGTTGATGTGGATTGTGAGTGTGACATCGGTCATTGGTTACTGACATGGCACTGAACCATTAGTTAGGTATTTTACTGATGAAATAGTTTGTTTTTGTTTTTTTGAATTTCGCGCAAAGCTGCACGAGGGCTATCTGCGCTAGCCGTCCCTAATTTAGCAGTGTAAGACTAGAGGGAAGGCAGCTAGTCATCACCACCCACCGCCAACTCTTGGGCTACTCTTTTACCAACGAATAGTGGGATTAACCGTCACATTATAACGCCCCCACGGCTGAAAGGGCGAGCATGTTTGGTGTGAGGGGGATTCGAACCCGCGACCCTCAGATTGCGAGTCGATTGCCTTAACCACCTGGCCATGCCGGGCCGCATTAACTAAGAGCTGATCAATGAATAAGACTCAAATAAATTTAAAGCTTTATTCTTCTTGCAGTTGTCCACGTATTAACATATTAATACTTAACTTTAACTCAGAGCTTAAATCCCCACTTTGAGATCGTGTAATAAGAGTGACGGTCAAATCTCATTATTTGGTCATTCAAGAAAAATCTAAGAATTGGCGGTGGGTGCTTTAGACTAGCTGCCTTCTTTCTAGTCTACCAGTTCAAAATTAGAAACGACTATTCGCAGATGGCTCTCGTGTAGATTTCTCAAACAAAAAATTAGTGTTGAAAGTAAACAATATTTTTCTCTCCAAAATCGCCACCCAGCTGCACAGCGGTATATCTGCGGATTTACAACGCTAGAAACCGTTTCGATACCCGTGGCAGGCAGAGCACAGATAGCCCATTGTGTAGCTTTGTGCTTAACTTCATAAAAAACAAACAAACTCTCCAAAATCCTCAATATTTAAATCCTTTAAACTGATTTCTCATAGTTTTCTTGAGACTTAAATTAGAATTTAATAAGAGTAGGTTTAGTAAAAAAAAATATACTTCTATTTTACTCCTTGTAATACTTACACCACTCTAGAAACATTACATTTACTTGTTTACTTTACAATATGTATAAAAGAGTTAGGTAGGATAAATTCCTAAATTAAATCTTTATTTCCTAAACGTTATATAACTTTTAATTCTTGGGCCCAGTTTTTTAGCAGTTCATAGAATTAAACATAATGAATGTTATATTTAAAAAAAATAATAGTCATGAAAAAGAACAGACAAAACAACAACATCATCTCCCAGACAAAAGATATTCTTAACAAAATCATTATTTTACATAAATTCAATATTGTTACACTCCAATTATTATTATTAGAATTATTCTTTTTCAGACGAATCATCATTTCAAAGAAATATAATTTTGAATTTTTGTACTCCAATTATTAATATCGGAATCATTCTTTTTCAGACGAATAATCATTTCAAAGAAATATAATATTGTTGGTTACCTTGAATTTTTGTACTCCAATTATTGTTTGAAGTATTTTTTAGATGAATCATAATTTTTACAAAAAATCCAATATTATTGGTCGCTTTGAATTTTTCCACACCAGTTGTTATTAGAAGATGAATCATCATTTTACACAATACAATATTATTGGTCACTCCAATTATTACTAGAAGTATTCTTTTTCAGATGAATCATCATTTCACACACATTCAATATTGTCGGTCACCTTGAATCTTTATACTCCAATTGTAATTATTAAAAGCATTCCTTTTCAGATGGAATCGAAACCTATTACCAACGGCATTTTGATCAACGAATACCAGAAGATGGGTAAGAATGAATACGAATTATTATAAACATTGATAATACGAGATTTATCACATCATTGTGTCTTATAATTATTTCTAAGGGTGAAGGAAAGCCACGAGGATTCAGAAGCTGCACCCAAACATTTTAAAGTATTATTCCATCTTACCAATCTCTAAGAAATCGAAGACTTTTTAAAGTTCTCTTCTAAATAAGCTACATCATCGTAATATATTCAATCTAGTAGCGTCACAGCCTGGCATGACCTGATGGTTAGGGCATTCGATTAGCAATCTGCGGGTTGCGGGTTCAAATCTCCTCACCAAACATGGGAGCATTATAACGTTACAGTCAATCCCACTACTCGTTGGTAATGAGTAGCCAAAGAGTTGACGGTGGGTGATGCTGATTAGCTGTATTTTCTTTAATCTATCACCTCAAAATTAGGGATGGCTAGAGCAGTTAGCCGTCGAGTAGCTTTGCACGACATTCAATAAAACAAATTAATTGTTGTTATAACGTGAGAGCAAAGAACTGGTCAGCGTTTCAATTGTGCGATCTTCATCAGGACGATGACCAAACTCTTTTTTATTTCACAGAAATACATAATTTATAACAAGACTTTTATTGGAATATTATCCATATTTACATTTTGGTTACAATTTACTTCCATATGACGTGAAAAAGTGTGAAATAGATCAAGTTGCGATTAAAACTGTTCTGTTGTTATTGACAGATGTTTGTCTGTTTTTAGTTAAGCACAAAGCTACAAAATCATCTATCTGTACTGTGCTCACTACGGGCATGGAAACCCGGTTTATAGCGGTATAAGTCTGCAGGCATATCACTGGATGGCGTTGGATGTCTTAAATGTATAATATTTAACTGTTATTACTGATCTATCATGTAAATGTAGGAAACAAAAAAAGTTAACGTTTTTGTCTTACTACTTAAGAAATACTAAATGGTTTAGTCCTTGCCAGTTTTATACTGGTTTATCCATACTATTTGTAAGCATTTAGTAGCTCATTGTTTTATATAATTTTTGAACAGATGAATATATGTATATTATTCCTGGAATATATATTATTATTTGCTTTAATTTGTGCTAGGTATTTCAACGCTTGTATTAGTCCTTAACTTTATTCTGAGCGTTTTTGAACAGCATCAATATATTTCATAACAAGCTACTAGCCTGGTATCCAGATAAACACCTTAAGACTATTGTCTGACACCCTGAAACTGTGCTACCTAACACCACTACTAGTCTAACACCATAAAACTGTGCTACCTAAATACACATAAAAAGCCGACTGCAGGATAAATTCACGAAAATCTGAATGCAAGCTCGATACACATAAAAGACTGACTGAAGGACAAAATAGATACATACGAAACGCTAACTAAACATAAGAGGCTGATTACAGGCTAAGTACACTAGAGGCTGACATGAGACTAGCTAAACATAAAAGGTCGACTGTAGACTAACTAAATATGAGAGGTTGATTACAGGCTAAGTACACTAGAGGGTGACATGAGACTAGCTAAACATGAAAGGTCGACTGTAGGCTAACTAAATATGAGAGGTTGATTACAGGCTAAGTACACTAGAGGCTGACATGAGACTAGCTAAACATGAAAGGTCGACTGTAGGCTAACTAAATATGAGAGGTTGATTACAGGCTAAGTACACTGAGGCTGACATGAGACTAGCTAAACATGAAAGGTCGACTGCAGACTAACTAAATATGAGAGGCCCCGTGTACTTGTATTTATGGTAAAGCTACTCATTTTGAACTATTGACCATGAAGAAGGCAACCAGTCAGCAGCACCCCACTATCCACGATAAGGGATTGATTGTCACTCTTATAACGCACCCACAGCTTAAAGTGAAGGAAATATTTGGGAGTATTACAAGGATACGAACCCGGATCGCTAGCTCTAAAATACAAAGATCTACCACAGTGTTAATCCTCATCCTTTGAAAATAATCATTTATGATATGATACATACATAATCCGGGTTTCGATACCCGTGGTGGGCAGAGCATGGATAGCCCATTGTGTAGCTTTGTGCTTAACTTGTAACTTGATACATACATAATATATAGTTAATTTTACGTTTCAACTTATTAGACAGTTCAACAATAACCACTAACTGAGATTCATGGCTGTATCTTTACTACATGTGTTAAAGAAATGTGTTCAAATTGGAAAGAATTTTTTTTACAATATCTCAAAGCTAAAGTGAGAAAATAAGCCAATAAGAATCAAATAAAGTTCCGCCCAAACTACAAAGCCTTCTTGCGAAACATCACTCTAGAGATATTGCGTTACTTTTTCAAAGAAATCTCCAGAAATGAAACGTTGGAACAATCTGAGCACATCGGAGCATTAATATTTCATCGTCATCACTGGTCTCCTGTGAAGAAGCAAAAACCGCAGCATCTACATATATATATAATTAATTATGTACTTTATACACAAAAGGATGCCTTTTCTTTGTGAACTGATTCAATTGTGAATGAGTTACATTACAATCTTGAGGTTTATGTATTCGCTAAAAATATGTTCCCGAGATTTTGAAATTCTGTTAAAGTTTTGTTGATTTAATACTAAAGACTACGAAATGTTCTTGTGAAATGTATTTTTTTCTTTTTTTCCAGAAAGTTTAGAAGCATTATTTTAAAAATAATTGATTTTTGTAATTCTAATTTGAAAGTATTTGATGTTAGTATCTTGGTTAGGGTGTTTAAATATAAGATTTTTGTTTGTTTCTGCTGTGTACTGTCAACCATAGGATTGAACCCCGAATTTAAGTGTTACAAGTCTTGAAACTCACCGTTAAGCACGCGGAGGACAAAATACACAAAATGTTTTTACTTTGAAAAATTGATTTATGTCAGTTAATTAATTTTATTTTTCTCAATTCTACACAAAAAGCTATCAGCGCATAGTAGTCTCTAATTTTGATTTGATAGGCTAGAAGGAGGCAGATAGTTAACAGCACCCACTGCCAACTCTTGAGCTACCCTTATATGACCAATTAATGGGACTTGACCACTACTATTATAGCACATCCACGGCCACAAAGTGTGAAGCGTGTTTTTGCGACAAAGGACCACGAACCATGAATTCTCGGATTCACAGTTCGAGCACACTTGTATTCCCTGCCTTATTTTAATCAGTCACAAAGGGGAAACATAAGAAGATCGTGTATTAATTTACGCGCATTGATTATAAAGACAACTTCGATTCGATGACGAGGAACCCACTTTGAGACTAATAATGGTTGGAGACGGCTTGAATGGGTAATGAAGAAAAACTTTAATATAAGTTTAATATAAGTTGTACATTTGCTGTTATGTTAAACATATATTAAAGTTTTTCTTCATTACCCATTCAAGCCGTCTCCAATCATTATAAAGACAGTTTGTTTGTTTCAAGTTAAGCACAAAGCTACAGAATGTTCTACCTGTGCTCTGCCCACCACGAGTATCTATAAAGACAGAAATAAAAAAAATGATGCTCGGCTTGTTCAATACTAGCATGAAAGAAGTGGGAAGTAATTCCATGCTAACTGCAATCAATTTAGGGCAACAATGAAGGAAAATAAAATGTTGATAACAATAAAATCTGGCGTTCTTGGGGACATATCTTAAGCTATAAAACGCCTAATTTGTTGAAGTTCTTTAGAACCCCTAGGCCTAATACGTTTGATAAATCGTTACGTTAAACTTAATCCGCTCGTTATTGATTTCAATTCTAAAAGGTCGATACAGATCTGAAAATACTATTTTTGCACAACTCTGGGTATAAAACTCGTAATGGAGTTATTAATATAAACATCAAGTAAAAAATAATGTTATTCGAGCGTAATGTTTACCACGTTTCTTAAGCCTAACGTGCTTAGAATGCAGGTGTGAATAAAATATATAAAATTAGGTTTGAAAACTAAATAATTTTCATTTACGTACTCTTCCAGAAATAAGAATTACCAACATTATATTTTTGTTTGATGATGTGGTCTAAGGGCAGATACAACAGACTGTGTGGAATCATCATCTCGTTAATTACAATATATTAACATAAAATGGTTCTTTGTCAAAGAACGTAATAACTAGTGCAGACGTATTCTTTACCAAAATTTCAGTAGATATTTGTTTTATAGTACTAACATTAAATAGTACTGACATTAAATAATACCAACATTAAATAATACAACATTAAATAGTATAACATTAAATAATACAACATTAAATAGTATAACATTAAATAATACAACATTAAATAGTACTGACATTAAATAGTATAACATTAAATAGTATAACATTAAATAGTACTAACATTAAATAGTACTAACATTAAATAGTACTAACATTAAATAGTACTAACATTAAATAGTACTAACATTAAATGGTACTAACATTAAATAGTACTAACAATAAATAATACTAACATTAAATAGTACTAACATTAAATAATACTAACATTAAATAGTACTAACATTAAGTAGTACTAATATTAAATAGTACTGACATTAAATAGTACTAACATTAAGTAGTACTAACATTAAATAGTACTGACATTAAGTAGTACTAATATTAAATAGTACTGACATTAAGTAGTACTAACATTTAATAGTACTAACATTCCTGCTTTTAGTATTTGTTCCATTTCAAAACACAGAAAGGCATATTTTTGTGTTAACAATTCTTGTACATGTATAGGTACATATATACATTACACAATAGTTATGTTGATTTTAACATCGACAAGAAATATCTTAAAAGTATTGCATCTCCTAGACTTTGAGGATTGTTTTATGTACCTTGACTACTCAGACAACAGACAGAAAACATCGCACGTATGAGCACACTGTAGGAAAGGTAAAATGTAGAGTACTAGATAAAGGTGTCTGAAGAAATAGGACCCACTCAGCGATGTAGATACATCGTCTATCAAAATTAACCTCAGAAATAAATACTAAAACCCACAGATAATATCTTACATTCACTGTCTAC